AAAAAAAAAGGCGCATACGTTTTGGACTGAACACACTTGTATATTGGCGCTTGCCTCGTAAATATTATGAGGGTCGATATAACCGCCTGGGATTTCTGATTCCCCCGGGAAATGCGTTTCACAAACCGGTGTATATCCATGTGCGTGCATACGCATTCACCCCATCCCCCTTGACTCGTGTTTGCACACACTTGATACATACACACACGGTATTTCTATTGAGTACGTACACTTTGCCCATGCATTCGATTTCACCATGCGAGAAATGGACTCGTGCTCCGAATTAGTGTGGACTTCATCTTTGACCTCTTTTCAAATGTACGAACAGCAAACATCTCTAACGAAAAATGAATTTTCGGATAATTGGTTTTATCGAAGTGATTGGACCATTGAAAATTCATTCTCCCCCCGATCTTTATTTTTTTCAAAAAAAATAAATAAAAATCGGATACGAATTGTTACTAATTCATTAAAAATCCGCAACAAATTTCAATATTTGTTTAAACAATTGGCCCATCAAGAGATTGAATTTCGCGTTTTTAAAACAAAACCTGAAATGCCTATCGCGTTTGAATCATCAATAAATTAATAAAAAAATTTTTCACCAACCCGAGAGCTCGACGATTTCCCATCCTCGACTTTCAAATCGTAAACATAAGCGTGAGCAATCATAATCCATACAAAGAGGCGCAAACGAGCGTTTGAGGGGCATAAAATAGTCGTAGAATTGTCAGCATGATGTTTCCACCAGCCCCTACCCCCGATGTATCCCATTCAGGTCACAAGAGGGTGGGGAGGACGGGGAAAAAAAAAAAAATGAGAGGGTGGTATGAGGGAGAGCTGGGGGACCTGTGGGATCACTCCCCTGTAGAAGGGGTCCATCAAGCCGCGTTGGACGATCCATCCCCTTCGATTTCAGCTCATCCCAACATCACCCTTCACTCCCAACGGGCCATGGGGTGGGCATGGGGGTGGACAAGGGGGTGGTAAGGGGGTCTCATCTGCCGACAAAAGAGCATCTGCGCGGATCCACAGATATGGACAGATTTAC